AATTAAAAAACCCAGAAACAATGGTTTCGGTTAATGAATTTTTCAGTTAACGAGCAACCTTCTGGAGCAATTGTGCTTTCGTTAACCGAGGACTCACTGTACAGTAGTTTGATGAATAAGTAGTGACATCGATGCTATTCATCAAGCGGCCTGTCGTTAACGATACAATATTACTTATTTATTAATTAATACAACATCACACCCAGACACCACATATATGTAACAAATTTATGCGTGGTTAACTACGTGGAGGTGAATTAAAAGATCAGCTGTTGAGCTTAGCACTTGGCAACACTGGTGCATGTTACCACTCCATCTCTCTAATGACCCACCTTCCTGCTTTCTCTCCATATTTTAAAATGTTATGTAACGTAATGTTGAAGGGATACAATGTGATAAGTGTTAGTATAAAAAATACTGTATTTTAGCTTTCATGTTTGTTCAAGACATCTTCAGGTCCTGAGACCTTATAATCCCCCACCCAACAGTGGGGGACCTGACATTTATCAGAAGGTCAGTAATATGAGACCACCAATACCCCACCCTACCTCTACCTGACATTGTGTCAGGTCAGTTATGTGAACCACTAATCCCCACAGCTCCATGGGAGTGGAAAATACCAGTCCTTGCTGTAACACACAGCTTCATTCCGACCATATCATATAAATTTTAGTTCAGATCTTGGAAAACTCCCCAGCACACAGAAACATTCTAGGGTGTGGGCTAGTGTTTTGTCTGTGCAAGATGCATAGTTTAGGACTTCTCGGATGGGGGATTTTTCCGGTTTGAGTCGTCTGGTTACCGGAAATCTCTCATCCCGGAAGTGCTCTGCACCAGTTGTTCGGCTTACGGGGATGTCACTGTGCATATATACAGTAGACTTCGCAACTTGCGCGTATTTTTCTTCACGATTTCAACTGTCTGTGAGGATTACCGGGGGTTAGGTTACAATTTCAATTTCCTACTCAAAGTTTTCAAAATTTTTGTATGCTGTAGTCTGAACTATAGCATGATTTTATTAAATTATAGTCTCCCAGGTCAGTTCAGTGACATTTTATAAGAAAAACAAAAACTCACTCCTAAGGACATAAATAAATACAGTTGTACCCCCTTAGCGGTCAATAGAACCCAGAGGTCCGTGTTAAGTGAAATCAGATTTAAGTGAACAACAGAACATATGGGATTAACTCCAGAAACCGGCCCGACCCCAAACTCCACTTTTTGAAGACACATAACTATGTTGTAGTAAAAATAACATCTTAATTTTATGATGGTACATGCACACAATTAATACTTAGAGAAATAGAGAAATACAGTGCCAGAGTTAATGTCCATTCAAATAATGGACTCAGCTCCCTCCCCTCTCACACCTACACTGCTGGCTCTTCCCTCTCTGAGAATTTTTGGGGAAAACCACTAAATTTTAATAAATAATACCTCAAACTAAAGTTAGGATAATACAATTGACATTGCTGGATTCCTTGCTGGATTCCTTGTAAGACCAGGAATATTTTGAATATAAATGTCATATATTTGCACAAAGATAACATAGTTACCAGAGAAAAATTTTTATCTAAAATTTGTATGTCTAATGCAAAATATATGATGTTTTATATTCAAAATAATCACAAATTATAAGAATTCCAGCAATGTAAATATATTCTGACCGAGTAATTTGTATGAATGTTATGAGCTAAAACAAATATCTTCAGTTAATAAAAAAAATAATCTTCACGACACTATCTGGCAATCAAAGTACCCCCTGCCTTTCCCCCTCTTCAACCTCGTGGTCAGTCCAACCCTCCCCCACCCCACCAATCCTCCTTCAAGAGATGGGTGAAAAAATAAATTTTAACATTTTGTATTAAATAATACCTCAGATTAAAGTTAGGATAATATTAATTGACATTGCTGGATTCCTTGTAAGACCAGAATATTTTGAATATAAATGTCATATATTTTGCACAAAAGATAACATATTTACTCAGAAAACATTTTATCTAAATTTGGTCTTAATGCAAAATATATGATGTTTATATTCAAAATGATCACCAAATTATAAGAATTCCAGCAATGTAAATTATATTCTGGCGGAAATTTGTATGAATTTTATGAGCCTAAAACAGGCAGTCAGGCAGGGTGGCGGGTGGGGCAAATATAAAAATAGCGTCTCGAGCGGACACTCACTGTGTATATGTGGAAAAATCCGTGTTAAGTGAAAGTTCAGCTCTGGCGAGGCACCGCGTATATATGATAAAACCGTTAAATCAGAAACGGTTAGGCGGGTAATATACTGTAATTAGATACTTCACAAGACCTCCTGGCATCAGCTGTCAAACACATCCCCCACCCCCCCTCCCTCCTCTCTCCCCATCCCAGCCAGGGTTTGGTAGTTTAGGCTTACAGTTTTTATCTTATGTAATATCTCGAACTAAAGTTAGGAGAATATAATTTGCATTGCTGGAATCCTTGCAACAGTGAATAATTTGAATATAAACGTCATATATTTTGCACAAGAGATAAAAATTAATCACCTGTATCACATTACAGTAGTGATTTATGAGTTCTAGTGTATATATGCGTATATACAGATTCTCCTCGACTTCGACCACCGGACATACAACCACCGCTGATGCGTATAAATATTTTTCAAATTACAGTGGTCCTCGGTTAATGAGCACAATTAGTTCCAGAAGGTTGCTCGGTCTTGACTCATGTTCAATGGGTTTTTGGGTAATTGGTTCGCTCACGGTGTCTAAAATCAACAAAAAGGTAGTAAAAGTATACTTACTCTGAGGTTGTGTGTGTAGAAGGCTCCTTTATGATGATGATGATGAGAATTAGAATGGGGTGGAGGAGAAGGAGAAGAAGGCATTGGGGTGGAAGAAGTCACCCCATGGTGCCATTTCACCCATAAAATTTTAGTTCTCTTGGTGTAATTCAAGATTATTTTCTTCAAATCAACACTGCACTGCATTATATATTGTCAATATGTAAAATAAATTTAAAATTGACCAAAAATTTGCCTGGAAACAGAAAAAAAGCATTTAGTTGAAGAGAGTCTGAAGATTTTACCTCCACTGAAAAGACACAGAGACTGACGCCTGTATGGTGTGTTGACAGGCTGTATGGCGCGCAAAAAACTAGCTTCCTATACTTCAATTATGTTCAATAATTGTTAAAATTAATATAAAACTTTTAAAATTATTGAATAGTATAAACTTCTTGATATTTACTAAAATAGTAAGGAATTTAAGCCCTAGAACCGATTACTGTATTGGCGGACAAATACTACAGCTGGTGGACCGCCAAATGCAAGCGAAAACATGTTGAGATCGGCTTGTAAAAAACTCGTTAATCGAGGGATTGATCGTTAACCGAGGCGCTCGTTAACCGAGGGATCACTGTACGTATAATAATAATTATAATAATAATTGACGGTTTATTGAAAGAGCATTGCAGCCGGAAGGCTGAAAATATACAATTACCTGTACATAATTGGGGAATGGGTCTCTTGATTTACAAATGATATACAGGTAACATAAGTGATACAACTATAATATATACAGACAGACCCCGACTTACGACTGCTACGACTTACGACCGTCGGGACTTACGACCGCCGCTGATTTTTTATTAATTTTTTTTTTTTTTTTTTTTTTTTTTTTTTTTTTTTTTTTTTTTTTTTTTTTTTTTTTTCTCAAATGACACACGCATTTTCTATACCGAAACGTTTCTAGTTAATGTAGTCTCCATGTATAATTAGAAAATTATAGGGGCCCCATGTGCATTCAGCTGACTACATTAAAGGTAAGTGCTCAGTCACACTGTAGCCATTCCTTATTATTTATTACTTTCACTGTACTGTATCCATTCCTCATTATTCATTACTTTTACTGTACTGTATTTCATTGTAGATTATTTATTCATTTAAAAAAAAAAAAAATTATCTATGTCGGACTTACGACCATGTCGGACTTACGACCATGTCGGACTTACGACCATGTCGGACTTACGACCTGGATTTGGGTCCCTAACCCCGTCGTAAGTCGGGGTCTGTCTGTAATAATTAGGTGTTGATAATTTTTACAATGGTTGGAACTGGGCTGTTCTTATAGCAATCAGTTCGTGCTCGTATGGGCTGGATGCGGTTGGGCAGGTGTGTATCCACGTTGCCAGGACAGTAGCTTGGGGCAATGCAGGTGTGCTCCATCCTTCAGGTTAGGTTAGGTGAAGCCATGAGGTCAAGTCAGGTTAGGTCAGATCCAGCCACACTCAGTATTACACTGCTGTGTTTTTGTGCTTTTCCTTGAAGTACACTATAGGAACACTGTTTAGTAGTCAATCTTTCACTGATCACTTTAATGTTTTGCTGAATAGATCCTTGTGTAGTAAGGCTGGTAGGGCATTGGGATATAGCAGGGGGAGGGGGTGGGCCAAACAGACTCGGCCTGGCTGCTCAAACTGGGAGCGCCTTCAGGGCACATCTTGTCTCGCTGGTGGTTGACAAGTATTTTCGAGTTCCGGCGTTAGTTATTGCTCTGTATACTGTACTGACAGATTTTCCGTTTGTAATTCCCTTTAAAATGGCTGGCAAGCTTAAAAGTGAGAGTTTTGTTGTGCTGAGAAGAAAAAGAGACACTCATTTTAGATTTTCTATGTATTATTTAAGCATTTTTGACTTACGACTTGGTCGTCGGTCCCTAACCCCATCATAAGTCGAGGACTGACTGTATATAGTGATTTAAGGGCGATTTAGGAGTGTTTCTGACTCTACACGAGGTCCCAGGAACGTAACCCTCACGTAAGTTGCGAGTCTACTGTATGCAGTGATGGTACCTTGTATACATTTAAACATCCATATAACAGAATATTTTCTCCATATATTCCATTAAATGGATGTTTATCTAACGGACCCTTGATATATGAGGTTTTCTTCTCCATTATAATCTGTTAAATAAATGTTTTTCTGTGTTGTTTCCAAGTTATTTTTTATCTTTATTCTTTTAAATTAATTTGTGTGTTGTGACAGGTGGCAGAGGTACTGTCCCGTGATAAGGTCCGGCACTCCATCAACGGCTGGTTCCACGGACCTAACATTGAGAGACCGCCCAAGTACATCACACCTTCCAGAGCCTTTGATGTTCCTTTGCATATTGAGGTTAGCTTAGGTTCCTGTTCTTAAGAATAATACTCTTGCTCAGTCACTCATGTCGTTGTGTGAATTAGTCAAATTCATTTATTATCTCAGGTTAGGTTGGAGAGGAACATGACTAATACATTTAGTATACACTCCAGAATATATTTTTAGTGTACTGTATGACACATGCACAGTGTTTTCAGTAAGGTGCAATTAGACTATAATATATACAGGTTGAGAATCCTTGGGGCCAAATGTGTCTCAGATTCTGGATTTTTTTGGATTTTGGGATACCTGTACACTGTATACCTGTTGTATAATATGGACACGAAGTAGTACCTTAAGCTGTGTATTCTTATATTACTCTATTAATTATGTATAGTAAAGTATTACAGAACATGTATTAATCCTATGTAATGTTTCCATTTATTATGCACCATGTTATGTATATGTATTATCATATTTACATATTATGTATTCAGCTTGAGAACGCTGGCATCTGTGTATGCCAGCGCGGAGTGATACAGGGAGATGAGACCGCTAGTCCTTATGGCGCGGAAGCCACTGTTTATTTGTTCCTCTGTATTTGTCTCCCGTACGAGAATAAGAACCTTTTTCAAGATAACAAGTGTTTGCGTATACCCTCAGTAGTGTAGAACATTTTGGGGGTATCAAAGACAGACATAGATGGCGCAGTGAGATTTCTCAGTGAGATTAAGAGTGAATTTAGCCTTCCCGCCGGACTGTGTTGTTAATGGCGTCTTGTCTTCAGCTTCGCCAAGGATTTACAGCAAGACTACAAGCCTCAGGATTTACAGTGTTGTGAAGTACTATGCTGTGTAAAGTGCTGTGCTGTGAAGTGATGTGTTGTGTTGTGTATTTTAATCAGAATTGTCTGTGCAAACTGCAGTCAGATGACTGAGGGAGCTGCCCAGCAGTACATCCCCTCCTGCTCATGGTCACTGAGTGACTGAGCAGTGAGCAGTAAGACAACTTCAGTTCAGTTGCGACTTGCGCCGAGCTGCCTCTATGTCTGGCAGCGCGCCAAGCCTCCCGCCAGCGAACCATACACACACACGCACTCACAGGCCCACTTTATATTAAATTCTTGTGTATTACTTTAAACTTCTGTAATTCTGTGCATAGATTATGAGGGGTTGACCCGGTCTCTTACACAGATAGAGTACAGAAGCTGTCAGCATGTCTCACAGGGATCAAAATGATACCCTGGACAATGGGGTTATGAGTTTAAGTTTGGGAGACCTCTCCCCACCCACACTCACGCCCCACGCTCCCCACATTGGCAATGCCCAATCACCCACAGAATCTCCTCGTTCGTCGCGAGCAAGCAGTGCCTGCGTCCAAGGATCTCCTTCAACTGATTAAGTGGATGGAAACTTCTCGACGCCAGGACGATGTTGCAAGGAGAGAAGAGGAAGAAATTCGGTACAGAGAGTCTGAAAGACGACGCCACGAAGATGAACGAAGACGCAGAGAACTAGGAAATATACGTAGAAGTGAGGATGACCAGAGAAGAAGAGAGGATCAAGCCAGATTTGAAGCCTTGATTTCCCTGTTAGCCTCCCCACAACGATCTACTCTACAAGTTTCTTCTGCTACTACTAATGCTGATACGACTAGAGGTACTGGTGCCTCATCTCCCAGAGTCGGTTCAACAATTCCTCAAAAGGCTGCAGCACAAACGCCTCCCTCTCTGAAGTCTGACGCTTCTTATCAGATATTTCGGGAATGGCGTCGACATTGGCAAGACTATGCAACAATGGTTGACCTGTCAAGTTTACCACAGCCTAAACAGATGATACAGCTTCGTATGTGCCTGTCCTTGGAGACACAACATACTCTCGAGCACACACTTCAAGTGCCTCCTACGACAACTCTGACTGTAGAGGTCGTACTTGACAAGTTACAGGAGCATGTTAAGGGACAGCGCAACAAAGCACTCAGAAGAAGAGAACTCCTCCAATGTAAGCAGCTTGATGGAGAATCTTTTGATGCATTTTTTGTAAGACTGAAAAGATGTTCAGAGGAAGTTGATGTTTGTCCTGGAAATTCTCAAGTTTTTGAAGAGACACAACTCAAGACAATCATTTTAACGGGTATTCGAGATGAAGAGCTAGTTCAGCGTCTCATTTCACTTGACCCCACTTCCTCCCTTCAAGATGTTGTTACAAAATGTCAAGCGTACGAGGCTTCAACTTTACGTTCACAACCTGACCAGGTGAGGGCGGTGTCTTCCTACAGAAAGGGTAAGAAGCAGCAAGGTAACCCCACCCCTCATCCTCCAGCTACACCTTCAGCAGCAGCTTTGTGTAACAGCTGCGCGAGACAGCATGATGCCTCCCAGTGCCCAGCTGCTCAAAGCATGTGTAGAAGTTGCGACCGTCAGGGTCACTGGGCTTACACAGTCAAGTGCCCTGCTAGCAAAGTTCAGTGCAGACTTTGTGGTCGTGTGGGCCATTATGACAAATGTTGTCGTAAGAAGACACATAAAGGACACCACCAAGGATCCAAGAAGTCATCCTCAGGTAGTGCTGGCGCGCCCCCTCCTTCTGGCAAGCATCAAGACGCTGTGCCCAGTAGTTCCTGCCATCGTGTACATTGTTCCACAGACACGATGCCCCAGCACATCAATGTTGTCATTTCTCACGGTAACTTGTCATCCAGTCTTCAGATGTTACCTGACACCGGTGCTGACGTCTCATTAATTGGTCCACAACACTTAGCAAGTTTGGGAATACCCCGGAGCAACCTACAGCCCCCTCCTCAGACAACGAAACTGACAGCTGATGGTTCCAAGATGGCTCCAGCTTTGGGATCTTTCTGGGCTACTCTTACCTTTGGTAAACAGTCTTTCGCAGCCCGGATTGATGTTCATGATGGGATCCCGACTCCGCTTTTATCATATGGCCATTGTCAAGAGTTGGCCATTATTTCCAAGGAATTCCCCAAACCTATTCTAAAGATCACCCATGTCAACAGGTTTGAAGGAACTCCCTATCTCTACTAACACGTCCCCTTCTGATGCAAGAGCTTACCTTCTCAAGGAGTTTGCTGACGTGTTGGTTACGAAGAAATCTTTAGGATCCACACCACTCAAGCCAATGGTGGGTCCATCTATGAAGATTCATCTTAAGGACGGTGCCACACCTTTTGGCATCCACACCCCTCGTTTGATTCCTCACGCCTACAAGGAGCTAGTTAGACAAGAGCTTGACTCCATGGTTGCTCAGGGAATCATCAAGCCGGCCGGAGACGAACCTTCACCTTGGTGCCACCCTCTCGTCCCCGTCGCCAAACCTCGTGGTGGAGTACAGATCACCACCGATCTATCAAAACTTAACCAGCAAGTTTCCCGTCCAGCCCACCCTTCACCCACACCCTTCGCAGCTGTTCGAAGTGTGGACCCGAAGGCGAAGTTTTTTACAACGATGGACGCCTTATGTGGTTATTGGCAGATCAAGTTGGCCGAAGACGACCAGCATTTGACTACATTCATCACACCATATGGAAGATCTCAGTATTGCAGAGGCCCCATGGGATTTGCCGCTACGGGCGATGCATTCTGTCAACGTGGTGACGTGGCCCTTCAAGGAGTCGCGAATTGTGTCAAGGTGGTTGATGATATTTTACTCCATGACGAAGACTACTGTGCCCACCTCTCCCGAATATATGAAGTTCTCACCAGATGTCGAAAGTACGGGATTACCCTCAACGCTGACAAGCTTGTAGTCGCCGCACCATCAGTGAACTTCTGTGGGTACACTCTCTCCGCATCAGGTATCGCAGCTGACCCGGAGAAATTAAGTGGAATCAGGGATTTTCCAACCCCTGCCAACCTGACAGACCTCCGTTCTATTTTGGGTCTGGTCAATCAGCTGGCTGAATTCTCACCTGACATCTCCTCTGCAGCCCAGCCATTACACCCCCTGCTGAGCCCCAGGAGGACATTCCTGTGGACCCCAGATCATCAAGAGGCCTTCCAGCGAGTCAAGCAGGCCCTCTTAAGTCTACCTGTCCTTGCCTGTTACGACCCAGCCCTACCCACCGTCCTCCAGACTGACGCCTCCAGACTCTATGGCGTTGGTTGCGCCCTTCTGCAGGACCATGGCGGTGGACAACTCCGCTTAATTCAGTGTGGATCCCGGTTCCTGACGGACGCCAAGACCCGATATGCCACGATTGAGCTGGAGATGTTGGCTTTTGTCTGGGCGATGGCGAAGTGCCGCTTCTACCTGATAGGACTTCAGCACTTCACCCTCTTCACGGATCATCGCCCTCTTGTACCTATTATCAATCACTACTCTTTGGATGCAGTAGAGAATCCTCGCCTTCAACGTTTGAAAGAGAAGCTCTCGCCTTATCTCTTCACGGCTGTGTGGCGTGCGGGTAAGCTGCTGTGCATCCCGGATGATCTGTCCCGCGCCCCTGTCAGTCGCCCCACCCCAGAGGACGAGATGTTGTGTTCTACAGCTGCCGCATCCCTCAAGTCAGTAGTCTCATTGAAGGCCGTCTTCACATCAGAAGAGTCTACAGCACCGGATCCAGACAAGACCCTTGAAGATCTCCGCACCGCAGCCCGGGCCGACCCTTCCTACATCCGGCTCGTCGACTGTGTGTCCCAAGGATTTCCATCTAACCGATACGACCTTCATGAATCGCTACTCCCGTACTGGAAGACACGCGAGGACCTCTATTGTGACGGAGACCTCGTCTTGTATGGTCCACGAGTAGTCATTCCTGCTGCCCTATGCCGCCGTACCTTGACCCACCTTCACGACAGCCATCGAGGAGTGGAGGCCACCAAGCGACGGGCGAAGCAGACTGTATTTTGGCCCGGAATCGACGCGGACATTGCAAGTACCATCCGTGCCTGTGAGCCATGTCAGATTCTACAACCCAGCCGGCAACAGGAACCTTTAATGTGCGACGATAACCCTTCAAGACCCTTCGAGTCTGTGTCGGCCGACTTCTTTGCAGTGGCAGGGAAGTCCTTCCTCGTCATTGCCGACCGATTGTCTGGATGG